GGGGTCAAAAGAGGAAGGAACATGTTTGGTGAGAAACCAGAAACAGAATAACAAGACGAGTCTCCAGCATGCTCCAGCATGCTAGCAGCTCTGTGTTACTGTACTTTGGCTGAATGCTCATACATTTTAGACATTACACATAACATCATCTGCATGGAGACTAAAGACATAACACAAGGATTGTATTTTATTTTATTTTCAAAAAAGAAACATACATATTGTCTAGTTCTGAATTGGGATTTAACATTTGCAACCACCTATGTGTCACCCTCTGTCATGTAGTGGCTGTGTTCATATGAGAGAGTAATGTAAACAGGAGGAAATGGTGCATTGGAGTGAAATCCTTTATTGTTGTGAATTTCCTCAGCGACTTTTGATTGCAACAGAAATGTATAGTGTCATCTGCATATAATGTGATTCCAGTATGTATGACAGCAGAGAAGATTCTCCAACATCCCATTGTATGAATTGCTGTGGTTTTGCGTCAGTATACATATCTGATGATATTTCCAGTTTTTTTCTTATTAACAATTGATTTATATGTATGTATGTAATGTATGTATATCCAAACCCTGATATATCTTTTTACTCTGTGCCATGAGTCAATCCCACGCACACCATCCAGCAGCCACAAAAAAAGCACCAAATGTGTATTAATTTGTAGCTTAAAATAGTCCCCAATACTATTTCCTCCTGTTTGAGTAACAACGCCCAATTGTAAAGCAGGCAATTACTGAACCTTTTTTAATCATAAAAGTATGTATTTGTGGCCTGTTGTTTGTGACTATCGGTGAGGCGCTGGGTATGTACATAGGAAAAAAGGAAAGTACTGACTAAGACAGACACAAAAACACATTGCTGGCTTTGATCTATTCGTTGACAACAAGAAAAATATAGACTAACAAAAGCCACAGTAACAGTGGTCAGAAAAAGACACAAATGAGTTGTTCTGTCTTTGCTTTTGCAGACGTCCGTTTGACTACTGTCATCAAAATCTTATGAGTCAGATAACAGTAATGCCACAA